TGTTCCCTTGTGTGTGCCTCATCTCCCTCATGTGCCTTTCTCAGTTGCTAGGGTGTCCCCTCATTTTCTAGCTTTCAGGTCTGGGTCTCTTCTGGTGTCCTGCCCAGCTCTGGGGTCAGTCGCTTTGATCCAAGAAGCCCCATTTCTTTGGGTAGCAAACGACATGGGAAACCCCAGGCTGTCTGTTAAGTCCTGCTGCAACCTTCATGGTGGGCAGAGCTGGTTTTGATATAACCAGGGCATCAGGTACCTAAGTGATCACTGCTGTCTCACTGCGAGGGTACTAAGTAGAGTGCTAGCTTCTGGTTAGCACACAGGCCATGCTTAGCCTCACCTCTGGCTACCTGAGGCTGTGTAGAGTCTGCTCCCACACCTAGTGTGTGCTCACTTAGACTCCTGGGGACAGAGCTAGCCAGAGCACCATCTCCTTTGTCTGTGTCTCTGAAGACATCTAGCCCCTTTTCTGTCAGAAAGGCCATATCAAACGTGTGGGAGTGGGAGTTGGCTCTACTAGTCACAGTCTACATCCCTCACATGCTTGCCTCAACATCCTGGTTGGTTTTTTTTTGCTTGTTTGTTTGAGTTTGTGTGCTAATGCTGTCTTGTGGGTTTTGATAGACAAATAGTGCTGTCTGTCAGCCAGCACTGTGCAGTGAAATTCCCCCAGTGTAGGTGGGCAGCCACTTCCCCCATCCCCCAAACCCACTATAATCCTGTTTCTGCCTCTGTCAGTGGCTCTGCCTTTCCCAGGATGCCTTACAGTCTGCAGTCAGAGTGTAGACGCTTTTTTTTGTTTGTTTTGGTTTGTTTTTTTGTTGTTTGCATTTTTTTTTTCCAAGACAGGGTTTCTCTGTGGCTTTGGAGGCTGTCCTGGAACTAGCTCTTGTAGACCAGGCTGGTCTCCAACTTACATAGATCGGCCTGCCTCTGCCTCCAGAGTCCTGGGATTAAAGGCGTGCGCCACCAACACCCGGTTCATTTGCAATTTTTTATTAATTTATGTTTTACATTCCACAGAGTGTAGACTCTTAACTGAACAAGCTGCATTTACTGTCCATCCATGCTGTTGTTAACTCAGTAGCTCCTGCACTTTTACCCAGGAGTGCCATCCACTGTCTGAATAGGGCAGTTTATTGGCACCTTGAGAGGCATCTTGACTGTGTCCAGTTTTTAGTAATGACTAATAAACTACTCTGAAGGTTTTATGTGGAGGTTTTATGTGAATGTAAGTGCCCAGTTCCGAGCCTCACGGTGGGTCGCATAGGCTCCATTGGTCTGCGTTTAACTGCACAGGACCCTGTCTATCTTCTAGAATAGTGACTCTGCTATTTTGCACTTTTTCTTCCCAGGTGATAAACAATCCTGTGGCTTGGGCACCTCCAGAGCACTATATGGCCAGTTTTTCCAGTTTTGGCATTTTGGTTGCTTGGTTGAGAGATTGTTTCGTGTATGCTGCCTGACCTTGAATTTGCTATAGCTAAGGGTGGTCTTCCTGCCATATCTCCCAATTGTTGAGATTATAAGTGTGCACCATTGTGCCAGGACCTCTCTGGTTTTACTGGTGTTCCCCAATGGTGATGGCACTGCACATATTTTCCTGTTTGCTTGTCATATGTGTTTGTGTGTGGCAGACAGTTTCAATACCTCTTCCCATCTTTTACCCCCTTTTGGGTTTTCTTACTACTGTTTTAGGAGTTCTTTAATGCAAATCCTTTATCCGATACATGGTTACAGAATTTCCCTACTGTCTATGCCTCATCTTTCCATTTTCTTTGAAGTTTCTTTTGCAAATTTAAAGTGTTTTTTTTTAATTTTCATGAAATCCATTGACTAAGTATTTTACCTAAAACATCATTGCTAAACTCAGTCACATAGACTGTTCCTTCCTCCCCTCCTTCCTTTTTTGTTTTTTGAACTCACAGTTAAGTTACATGAGTGCTGGGATGACAAGCGTGAGCTTCTTTCTAACAGTTTGGCTTTTATCTATACCACATTTAGTCTGTGAACCTTTGGATTAATTTTTATGTAAGGTGTGAAGTCTGAGGCCATCTTCTTATACACAGATTTGGTATTGGCTTGCTTTTGGTACTGTCACATGGGTCTGGGTATGGATGAAAAATGCATTTTGCTCAGTTTGGGGGCTGGAAGTACATACACTGTGGCAGTAGCTCTGGTGAGAGCCCTCTGCTAAGTTATCTTTTAATGATAGCATCAGTGAGCATCTTGTGGGACAAGAAGCTAGAGTGATGGTGTGGGAACAGTCTAGAGACCTCCTGCTGGGTTTCACATCTTAAAGGCCGCCCATCCAACACTGCCACACTGAGAACTAAGGAAAACTTGGGGTCAAGCAACATTCAAACCATAGCAGTTGGTCCAGCTGCCGCTGCTGATGAGAGGTCCTCAGCATATCGTCTTTGCAACTTTGTGATCTTTGTGTAACTGCTGCTGGGCCCTCTGCTCCCCTCTGCTGAGTGTGTGGCATCTTACCAATTCTCCTTATCTTGATTAGTGTAGATTTGTCTAGTGAGTCCCGAAGGTGGCTAACCTGAATGCCACAGCTCTACCCCTCTTCTAATTACTTTAGCTCTTCTGTTTCCTTTGCCCTTTCATATACACTGTTAGAGTCAGCTTGTCAAAACCTACAGGAGAACTCACTATTTGATTGAGATTGTTGACTTGGTGGGTTCAGTGGTAGTATAGCTGTCTGGTCCATGGGTGTGATTTAGCTCCCCACTCATCCTGACACTTCTTTCTTCCTCCTGTGTCTTGAAGTTTCCAACAGATGGAACCATCTTATATTCTTTTTGTTGTTGTTGTTGCTTTTTTTGTTTGTTTTTGTTTTTCGAGACAGGGTTTCTCTATGTAGCCCTGGCTATCCAGGAACTCACTCTGTAGACCAATCTGGCTTCCAGAGATTCACCTGCCTTTGCCTCCCAAATACTGGGATTAAAGGCGTGTGCCACCAGCACCGGGCTCTTTTTTTTTCCCCCTTTTCAAACTTAGATGGCGTTGCTCATTGCTTGTCTGTAAGAACACAGTTGACTCTTCTGTTCTGATCTTGTGTCCCATCACATGGTCTTTTTTTTAAAAAAAAATATTTATTTTTAATGTGTATTGGCATTTGTTTTGCCTGTGAAAGGGCATTTGGTCTCCTGGAACTGTAGTTACAGAGAGTTGTGTGCTGCCATGTGAGTGCTGGGAATTGAACCTGGGTCCTTTAGAATAGCAGCCAGTGCTCTCAACCACGGAGCCATTTTGCCAGTCCCCCTCATTCCATGATAGTGATAAACTCATTTTTTAGTTCTAAGAGTTGCCGGTTTTGTCTTATTTTTGTAGGTACTTTGGGTTTTTCTACATAGACCTCTTTTGCTAATAAAGACATTTCTTTCTTCCTTGTCTGTGTGTTTTATTTCATTCCTCTCTCTTTATCCCCCCCACTCCCCCCCCACACAATTGCCACACACAATGTGGACGCCCCAAGGAAGTGAAAGTGTCTTGTAGAGGGCAGATCCTAAAAATGGCCTCAGAAGTCTGAGCTTGGATTGGACTGTTCCAGCCGCTGGCCCTGGGGAGCAGTGCTATTGATGGAGCCAGGTCACTAGGACCTTCCATGTTGGCTAGTGCCAAGTTCTCACACATAATCAGGCACAGGTTTAGATAAGCAACGTCAGTCTGCTGCCTTACATATCATACGTGCCTACAGCATGCTTTCTCCAGTCTGTGTTCCAGAGCCCCCAAGGTCCTGAGAAAGTGTCTGCTGCTTGTGTGTGTGTAGCCTGGGTACTTTGTCACTTACTTTTCTATTGTTGTGATGGGACACTGTGACCAAGGCAGCTTATAGAAGGAAGAGAGATAAGAGTCCGTCGTGGTGTGGAGGCATGGCAGCACAGGATGGGCAGGAGCAAGAAGCTGAGCGCTCACATTTTTAGGGGCAAGCTGAAAGCAGAGAGAGCAAACTGGACATGGTGTAGGCTTTTAATCTCAGAGCCTGTCCCCAGTGACATACTTTCTCCAACAAGGCTGTACCACCTAAACCTCCCTAAATTGCACCAACAACTGGGAACTAAGTGTTCAGATACCTGAGATTATAGAGTGTGTTTCTCATTCAAACCACACAGGTGCCAAACCATGAGTGCTGCCCCCTGTGAGAAACATGTGTTGCCCATGAGGGACTTTCCTGCTTGTGTCCTCTTATGTCTGTGGGGCCATTTCCTGTTTGCGTCCTGTCCTGGTTGGTTTTTATTCAGCTTGACTTAACCTAGAGTCACCTGGAGGAAGGAATCTCAGTCAAAGAATTGCTGGCCTGTGGACATGTCTGTAGAGCATTGTCATGATTGCTGATTGATGCAGGAGGGCCCAGCCTGCTGTGGGTGGTACCATCCCAAGGCAAGTGGTTCTGGGCTGTATAAGAAAGCTAGCTGAGTGTGAGCCAGAGCAAGGCAGTAAGCAACACTCCTTCATTGTTTCTGCTTGAGGTCCTGTTCTGATTTTCCTCAATGATGAACTGTGACCTGGAAGTATAAGCTGAAATAAGCCATTTCCTCCCTTAAGGTACATGGGTCATGGTGTTTAATAAAACAACAGAAAGAAACTTTAACATATTCTCTTATGTCTACGAAGCCATTTCCTCCTCATATACCCTTGTGTCCATAGGACTGTTACTTCTTCATATCCCATTAACCCAAAGGGGCCTTTCTCCTGTATCGATGGAGAGAGGCCCATTCTTGCCTGTGTCCCCTTGTGTCCATGGAAATTGATCTTATTCATGTCCACTTGCATCCATGGAGACGTATTCCTGCTTGTGTCATTTGTTGCCATGAGCAAGGGGTTGTGGGGCAGGCCAGACAGAACTATCAGTCCACCATCTCAGCTAGGCTAGTTGGCCAGCAAGCCTATGAAACATCTCCCTTTCCCATGGGGACCCAGTTCCTACTTGCATCCCCTGCGCCCATGGAGGGGTGGTCTGTTCCTACTCATAATCCTGCATTTATATCTTCCAGTTGTGGCCTTCTTGGTGGCATTCAATCAGAACAAGGCCCTCATTGGAGATCGGGGCCTGCTGCCCTGCAGACTGTACCTGAAGAATGTCCAGCAGTACTTCCATGGCAGGATTGGCTGGGATGCCTGGAGCTATACTCCAACAATCTTGTGGCTGATGGACTGGTCAAACATGAACTTCAACCTGGACCTTCTTGCTCTTGTTGGGCTGGGCCTCTCATTCTTTGTCCTGGTGACTGGCTGTGCCAACATGATACTCATGGCTACCCTCTGGGCCCTCTACATGTCCCTGGTCAACGTAGGGCAGATCTGGTAAGTAGAGCCTACCACGTAGCCCTCCTGGACCTATACCTCTTGGCCACTGAAGTGCCAGAGTGAGCTTGTCCAGGGGTGCATTATCGAACACTTAGGCCTTGGTGGAGGCTGCTGTTGACCACTCAACCAAACCCTGGCTTTTGTCTTTGGGGAATAAAATGAGTGATTGTGCTTGGAGATATATGTCCCCTTAAGAAAGTGCTCCCAGTCTGCTTAAGTCATGAGGTTTGAGGAGATGGAGACAGAAATCATTGGGTAGCTGGGAACATGGAGGTTGAAAGGATTGACTTTGAAACATCACCCTTCCATCCTTATCAAGAAGAGTCTTACCAGCCTATGCCAGATGCCACACTAGGACCTTGGCTCAAACCTTGCCCTGATGGTGGCCTGTAGGACTAGAGGTGCTGATGAAGCTTATAGGACCACCATGGCCAGAGAGATTATGGACGTGTTGCGGAAGTTTGTGGACATGGTGATCAGTGTCTATGTGGACACATGGGATGAGGGGGTTAGTACATGTATTGATTATTTCTCTCCTTGGTGTGACACACAAAAGCTACTTAAGAAATTCCTCACAAAAGCAACTTAAGAAAGAGCAGGGGTCAGAAGGGGTTGTGGGGCAGGCCAGACAGAACTATTAGTCCACCATCTCAGCTAGGCTAGTTGGCCAGCAAGCTCCTAGGATCCACCTGTCTCACAGTGCTGGGGTTATAGATACACGCAGCCATACCCAGCTTTACTTGGATGCTTTTGCTTGCAGAGCAAATACTCTTACCCACTGAACCGTCTCTCCAGCCCCACCCATGGGTCCTCTCCCAACCTCTATTCAGACTCATCAGAGAACTGCTTGCATAGGATATTTCTTGAGTTATCAGTGAGTATGAGCAAGCATATTAATATTTCCTCTGTGGACATGTAGTAGCATGCTCAAGGGATGTGCTCACTGCTTCCAGCACCTGTGGTAAGACAAACAAACAAAAAACCACAACCAAGCTCCAAGCATTATTATTATTTTGTTTGTTTGTTTGTTTTTGTTTTTTTTTGAGACAGGGTTTCTCTGTGGCTTTGGAGGCTGCCCTGGAACTAGCTCTTGTAGACCAGGCTGGTCTCGGACTCACAGAGATCCGCCTGCCTCTGCCTCCCAAGTGCTGGGATTAAAGGCGTGCGCCACCAATGCCCGGCAGGCATTATTATTTTATCTGAGGACAGTATGTATCTTGGTCAGGCTGGGAATCACTTGATACAGTTTCAGAACCACCAGGCTACGAGTCCACACAGGGAGCCCAGACCCCATGGCAAATCTCAGGCTCTTACCTTTCATTTGCACGCATTCCATTCAGTTTTTCTTCTTTATTGAGATGCAGTTCATACACTGTAAAATTTAACTCCTTAGTATGTACAAGTCAAGCTGAGTATGGCAGTATGTGCCTGTAGTCCCAGAACCAAGGACGCTCGGGTCAGGCAGGAGAACTGCAAGTTTAAAACAAACCCGGACTACACAGTGAGTTCTAGGACAGCCTGAGTTAGAGAGTGAGACTCTGTCTCAAAAATGGAATAAAACAAACAAACAAAAAAATAAATTTTACAAGTCAGTTGTTTCATGTATTCAGGGTTCTAAAAACATTGCCATGGAGTTTAAACCATTCTCATCACCACAAGAGAACGCTGTATCTTAGCTAATAAACTCACCCCATCAACAGCCCTTGGTGACCAGTAACTGTTTTCTGCCTGTGGCTTTCCTTTTACACCCATGGTGCTTAAATGCCCCAGGCATTTCCTGTGAACAAAATCCCATAGTGTGTAGCTTTGTGTCTGGCTTCACCCCCAGCATGGTGTTTTAGGGCTTATCATGTGTAGCTTGTATGAGTATGTCTTTTTTTTTTCATGATATAGTAGTTGTACATGTTTACATGATATGGGGGGGGGAGACACTGGGAATGCAGCTCAGGGGCAGAGTGTTTGCCTAGTGTCTTAGTCACTGTTCTGTTGAGGTGAAGAGACACCATGACCATGCAACTCGAGAAAGTGTTTAATTGGGGACTTGCTTACAGTTTCAGAGGTTTAACCCACTATCATTATTATGGAAAGCCTAGTGGCATGTCGGCAAGCACTGGAGCAGTAGTGGAGAGCAAGAGAGACAGACCTGGCATGGGTTTTTGAAACCTTAAAGCCTACCCCTACTGACCCCAGTGATGTAATTCCTCTACCAAGGCCACACCTCCTAATCCTTATAATCCTTTCCAATATTGCCACTCCCTAGTGACTAAACATTCAAATATATAAGCCTGTGGGAGCCATTCTTATTTATAGCACCATACCTAGCACGTGTGATGCTCTGGGTTCCAGCAGCAGAGCACCTAGCATCTGTCCAGTGTGACTTCCAAGTAAAGAGCACAACAGCAATAGCCTACCACACTCCTTTGACATAGCCCCTCTTCCAATGACTCTTCCAAGGCACCCTTGAGCTTCAGATCTTGGGGTATAGCATTTATAGTGGTAGTTAATTAGAATCATTTTTCATGCAGGAAAAACAAATCTTGCGTCTGCTCACTCTACAGTGTCTTTTGCTGGTCTGTAGGCCCTATCTCACCCAGCTTTGCCTATTCAGTTCCTGGTGGCTGGTCTGCCTGGAGGCAGGACTTCCCAGCAGTGCCCTGTGCCCCACACTGCCCTGGGCTCACAAGTGGGTTCTGTTCTGTAGATAAATATAATAGCTTAACATATGAAAAACCAAGCCAACGTTTTAATGTTTTCCTTTTTTTGTGTGTGTTTCAGGTATTCTTTTGGTAAGTGACAATCATGCAGAAAAAAACTCTGCGAGGGCTTGCCTTATATGTTGGGGTATGTATGTCTGTGCATTTCAGGGGGGCTTATCTAATTGTTTAAATACTTGCTGCTATTGAATTGCTGCTGGCTCTCTTGGTATGGGGGTGGTTCTACAGAGTGTTAGCAGGCTGGCAGGCCCTGAAGGTTGGCTCTGGTAGAAGTGAATGACTAGGGTGGGTTGGGACTGGGGGCTTCCAGGTGAGCTACTGGGGTGCCATTCGCAGTATAATGGAGATGCTGGGGGCTGCTTTTGTAGAGGAACCAGGTTTGGTTCCCAGAACCTACATGGAGGCTAACAACCACCTTTAACTCCAGTTCCAGGAAATCCAATGTCTTCTGGTTTCTGTAAGCTCTGAATGTATGCGGTGCATAGATAATACATACCACAGAACACTCATAAATATAAAAATAAGTAAACACGGGGCGGGGGGAGTGTTGCTGGGTGCAGCAGTACTTGCCTATAATCCCAGCACAAGAGAGACAGAGGCAAGCAGAGCTCTGTGAATTCAAGGCCACCCTGGTCTCCATAGCAAATTCCAGTCCACCCAAGGCTTTGTAGTCAGACCCTATCTCAAAAGAATAAAATAAAATAATGATGATACTGAGGGTGATGACCAGAGAGGGCACTGGGAAAAAGTGCAGCAGGTGTGTCTTGTGATTGTCCTGTGGCCACTGAGCTGCACATAGGTGTGTTCATAGGAAAGAAAAGTGTAGAGAACAACTGCCCAGGGCACTGGTGATGACTAAAGAAGCAACTCAGGTCCTCCCAGCCCATGCCAGGTGACAATCACTGGAGTGTAGCTGAGGGCTGCCCCTAGAGAAAGCCTGAAAATCTGAGGACTTACGTTTGTAAGCCTACCCAACTCTGAAGGAACAGAGGAAACTGGACTTGAGGGGAGAGTTGGGGAGTGAGGAGAGCGGGGGCAGGAGTGTCTTTACTGCCCTGCAATTCAATAGCCCAAGGACGACACAGGAGGCACCTTGGCCCCACTTCAGCCTCTTCATGCTGTGTGTGTACCTGGGGCCCACACCCTGTCTACCCCATGTGGCTTCTGCCATGAGGCCTGAGTACCAAGGCATTGTCTGACTTACCTTCTTAGCCTCAAATATTGAGTGTGCCCTACAGTGCTGAAAAGGGAGATCCATTGGCAAACCTGAGGCCATCAATCTGCTGCCACTATAAATGTTTCCCCTCATTTTTAGTTCCCTGCGTAGGCAGATATAGGTAAAGCAAAACTGTTCCAACTCTGCTGATAGGGCCTTTCCCACACAGCCGAGGGCAGTGTCCGTGTGGCTGCTCAGGACACAGTGAGTCCAAGACATTCATATCTGCTCCTTGTTTCTTGTATCAAAATCCCCAGAGAACCCTGTGCTCTCCCGTGCTTCAGGGAACAAACCCTCTTTTCTTAGCGAACTTAGCTTATCTGAAATTGCAACAAGATTACTTTCTCTGGTTGTGAATATTGAAACCTTGAGGCCCTGACTCCTCTATCTAGATGGGATCCCTGCTCCTCGGCGAAGAAGATTCTGGCAATTACTGGTAAAATCAAGTCTGAGGCACTCTGGGTGCTTACTGCTGTTAGCTCCTTGGAGCCTCTGAGGGGCGGTGTCACGGGCAGACAGGATGAACACTAACAGGTGCTGCACACATCTTCAGGCCTGTGTTGGCAGGGGCTGCCCCATCTTGGAATCTAGGAAGTGGGGTATCCCCAAGGTTCTAGGTATATATTGTGAAGGGGGTGAGAAATAGGGCAACTTGGAGCACTACCTGCACAACTGTGAAGGCTGAGCAGTGGAAGAGCTCCAGGTGGTGATTTCAGGAACTTAGAAGAAAACCACTGCCCAGTCACCCTTTGTCTGTGGTCTTCACTACTGGCACTTTGCAGACTCCATTTTACCTGCTGATGCTGGGACCAGGGAGCCTGTAGTGTCACTGTAGCCCTGCCTTCCATCTTCTCCCTTGCTATCCCAGAAAACAAAGGCCTGTCTGGGGAAGGCAGCACAGGGCAGGTATCAGATGTGCTGGGTTCAGACTTTTCCGGAGGGGCTGGAGTGATTGCTCAGTGGTTAAGAGCATGTTTTCCCAGAGGACCTGTGTTCAATTCCTAGCACCTGCTTGGGGGCTCACAACCATCAGTAACTCCAGTTCTAGAGGATCCAATGCCCTCTTTTGGCTTCCATGGGCACTGCATACACATGGTACACAGACATATACTTCAGGTAAAATGCCCATATGTATAAAATTTAAAAGACTCTTCTGGAGGCTTTTCTTCTCCAACCCTGTGTTGCTGCTGACTGGAGCTGGAGCTGTCACGGTGAGCACGGCTCATCATCCTAACTGTATGTTCTTAACTGTATCCGTCATCTCCCTTTTACACGGAGGCTTTGATGAACCAAGAGCCGCAATGTGGAGCTGCCTATAGTTCTCTGTGGGGCTTTATTGCCCGAATGGTGGTTTGAAATGCACTCAGAACTGTGTCTCCCCATGTGCATTGAGTCTGTATTTGTATCTATTTGTTTATTCATTTTGAGATAGGTATTTTACTATGTACCCCGTACAGTTTCCAAACTCCTCATCCTCCTGCTTCAGCCTCCCAAATGCAAATCGCAGACATGCACCACTATCCCTAGATAATATGCACATATTAAATTAGTTAAGATTTAGTCAGTACAAATGCCCATCCCTTAGCCTCACCAGCCACTCCTGGAGATCTGGAAGGCATGAACTCTAGAAGGGTCTTTGGATGGGGCCTCATGGAGGTCACCCTCCATTCAGCTAGCAAAGGGGTTAGGGTACCACTATTCCTGGGCAAGAGTGAGCAGTGCCTCTTTGTCCAGAGATGTGGGAGCCTGGCCTCTTCTGTCAGTGACAGGATTCTGACTAAGGAGCCCAGACAGTGAGGTCCCATTTCTAGTGACTTCCTTCATCTCAGACAGTCACCATTCCTGAAAATACTCAGTTTTTATTAGCAAGTTTTGGCTGTCTCTTTCAGAGACCCCCCTTTAATTATGGGAACTTTGGGTTCTCTGCTCCATCACCTGCCACTATCCCAGCACTGTCTTCTCTTTTCTGGGCAGATGCAGTTGCCGAGGGAGCTAAGGGTGTATGTTGGTGCTGTTCTTTGGGTTACAGGGAGCCTATGCCATTTGCCATCTGCTCTGCACTCTTTGCTGCCTTCCTTTTGCCTTGGCAGCACACAGACCAAAGACTGCTAGGAAAAGGGTTCATTTTATGCCTTGCACATGCAGGATGCTTCTGTCCCAATGGGATTGTGCTTCCTTGATGTCCCTTCACCTGGCCCTCTGGAACTCAGGCTGTCCCATACTTTGGAAACTGCCAGGCTGAGCAGCAAGGCTTCAGGTCTCCTGAAGGACAGGGCTGCTTTTGGCAGACACCATCCCAACACACACAGTACCCAGTATGACTGCTGACCCCAGCCTGATGACTGTCTCTCAGCATGACGGCTATCCCCAGTTCAGACACTATCCCTGGCATGGCTGTTGTCTCAAACATACCCACTATGTCTGGCATGGCCACTGTCTATCCTGGGTTCTGGGCTATGCCGTGCTCTGTGTGCAGTGTGAAAGGGTTATAGATAAAGGACTGTGACCTTGTCTTGGGGGCTTGAGTCCCATGTCCTATCCTCAGGGTTTCCTCAGTTTTATTCCTAGGGTGACTCCTTCTAGGCCTGGGCTGTCGGGGGCCTGGAGCAGCAGTATGGCTACCATGACGGAGAGAGTGTCCTGCTATAGGAGCCACCTGCTGACAGAACTGGAGAGAGCCTGTGAGAAGATAGCATGATAGACTCCAGCCAAGTAACACAGCTTCCTCCAGCTTGGCTCTTGGGCTATATACTGCAAGCTCTTCCAGGCCTAGATAGACAGTCAGGAAATCTAGCACATTCCAGATGGCTTTGGAGTGTTTTAGACCACAAAAACACTTTGTAAGTTCTTTGATTGTGTTTTCTGTAGTGGTGAGTGGAGTATAGGACTTGACTTCTAAGTGATATCCAGACATGTAGGCCATGCTTTCTGTTTTCTTTGTCTATATCCTTTGGGACACTGGGTTTGGTCACACTGTCTCTGATGACTGTAAGGAAGAGGCCCAATCTGCTGTGTGGGTATAATATTGTGAGAGCCCTGGGCCTCAGGAGCTCCCATCAGGCTTGAGGGGACTGAGAAACCTTTGGTGTCCCCTAGATGCCCCCACCACCACCGCTCAGGGCAGCATGTGTCTAGTAGTCTAAGGATGTCCCCGGTGTGAAGGTCCCTGGAACTCAGGGAAGAATTCTAGAAGAGCCCATGCCTTCTTTGTTTCAGTGCAACACGGCCAGGATAAGAATTGGACACTTTAGCATTCAAATGAGTCTGGGTTCCTTTCATTTCAGCAAGAAGCTGCACTGATAAGCGATTAGTTTGTCCTCAGCTGATGAGGACAAGGACAGTAGTTCTGCTGTGTCAGCTGCCTGGGCACAGTGTACAGGCACAGGGACCCACAGAGGCATCTGCCTTGGATCACACACAGCCCATTAGCTGTAAACACAGCAGGAGTGTGGGGACAGCTTTAAAGCATGTAACCCAAGGAAGCTGCAAGCCAGTGGGTAAGCCACAGGGGAGGGAGTCCAGGTGTCTGCAGGAAGCTGGCTGGCATGTCAACACCCATGGCTCCCATGCAGCCCGGGAGGGCCCAGGCTGCATTGCAGGAATGGTACCCACAGATTATCTTGTGAATTCTGCCCTTTGCCACCATATCTGTAGTCTTTCCAAGTGGATGCAGCTCTTAATGATTTGGGGAGCTTTGTTCTTGCCAAGCAGAGAGTTCTCTCTCCTGTCAGACCATCATTGGCAGGCCCTGGGCCGCATGGGATTGTTTACACGGTTGGGACACTCGAACCTGGGTGTTTCCCTTCATGGCAGCACCTCCTGCCAGCCGTTGTGAATTAAATGCTCCATGTGACCCTTCACCCTTGCTGCTCTTAAATTCATGCTTTAAAAACAGCTTAATGAGGGGTTTACTGGCCCAATTGGAAGTTTTTATTAAGACCCATTAGTGAGCGAGCAGAGGCTGCCTGCAGGAAGTGATTAGCACAGTGCCCAGCCCAGCAGGTTCCATGAAACTGTTTCCAGACCTGTGGCTGACACTGCAAGTGGCCTGCATAACCCTCTGCTGCAGTTTATAATCCTCATTCTCCTCACAGTCCTGGTGCTCAAGAAAGCAGTTTCCTTAATTAAGTTACCCTCACAGTCAGAGGCAGCCTCGATGGCCTGGCCAGCCTAAGCTCACGAGCCACCATCAGCAAGCCAACCATATGTCTCCTTCCTGGGCCTGGGCCTGTCTCTGTTAATGTAAACTCGTGGTGTCACTAGAGGAAGAATAGCCTCATAGAGCTCATCTCTGAAAAATGTCAACTCAGGATGACAGGCCCCCTGTCCCAATACCATGTCCAGTCACATCTTCATGGGAGCCCAGACAAACCTGCTCCCACCATGTGAGGGCCACTGTATAGCATATTGGCTGTGGACTGTCTCAATCAGCCACTCGGTGTGGCCTAGGGTCAGTGTTTACCCATGGGGGGGGCATAAGATCATATTCTCATCTCAGTCTTTGTGTGTCTCTCCCTCACTCCCCCTTCCCAGTCCTGCTCCCCCATTTAAATCTAGTGAAAATCACCAACTGAATCTAAAAGAAAATGTTTTCCTGTATGACGGCTCACACCTTTAATCCTGGAGGCTGAGGCATGAGGAATGCTGAATTACAGAGTGAGACCTGTCTCCAAAACAAATAAATAAAATAACAACAACAAAACAGGGCTAGGGATGTAACTCAGTGGGTAGACTGCTGGGTCTGGAGCATGCCTACAATCCACACACACTGGAGGTAGAGGCAAGTTCAAGGCCATAATCACTTTGAGGCCAGCATGGGCTACTAAGTCTGGGTTCCTTACTGTCTTGTTGCTCACTCTGGAATCTGTCTTCCAATTCCAAAACATGGTTCCCTTTAATGAACAGAGCTCTGAGACATTGAAGAGAGAGCTGTTTCACTTGAGTCCTGAGGCTGCTGGGTGGGTTCTATCTGGAATTCTTCTGGCTTGCCTCTTAATTTTATTTTTTGCCAGATTGTTTGGAAACGGGGTATCTGTCTGGTCCTGACTTTCCCACCGGGGTAGAAAGTTGTCTCCATCCCATCACTCTCAAGGACAGCAGAGTCCTGTGGACTTAGTCTAAGTCTCCTACAATAAGGATCTGTCTGATTTCAAGCTTGTTCCTTTCGAAGCTACCTGTGGTTGCTGGGTGGCCTCTCCCGCCAAGCTGTCTGTTCATCTCAGTCTCTGGCATAGCACCTGTCCATGTCACTCTCTAGCACAATACATATCTTTGCTTGTTTCTCTTCTGTTCCCCATGGGCAGAACACTTAGAGATTCTCTCTTGTGACCTTGAACGAACTGGTTTTCTTTATCAGATTTTTAAGAATTTAAAAAAAAATATGTTTGTTGCTCACTGGAGTCGGCACGGCTGTCCGGAGCGCCATGAAGAAGGAGGTTCAGCAGCTCCTGCTGGAGGCTAGGCTCAACTGCGTGAAGGTTTCCCAGGCAGCTGCAGACTTGAAACAGTTCTGTCTGCAGAATGCCCAACATGACCCTCTGCTGACCGGAGTGTCTTCAAGTACAAATCCCTTCAGACCCCAGAAAGTCTGCTCCTTTTTGTAGTCAAATATCATAAGGTTTCTCAAACCACTTTTCATGAACCAGTGACTATTCAAGAGAACTAAATCCAAAGTCTGTACAAAAGCTCTGTAACACGTGCCATAATATACAGTCTTCCAGTTGTCAGTTCTTAACATCTACCTCTCTGAATTTTCATGGATTTCTGTTTCACAAGGTTGAACTACTTTATATACACTGGCTGTAGCATACAATAAAACAGCATACAAAAATTATTTTACGATGCTGGGAACCTGAGGTTTTGTGCATTGCTATACCAGTGCTCACTCTTAGCCACACCCTAGCCCTGATAGGTGCTCAGCAATGCATTCTGGCTCGTCAGGCTTCATATTTGTAAGTTGCCTTCTCCTGAAGGGAAAGAGCTTATCCTCCAGTGTCTTCAGCTGACAGCTTAATTCATTTATTTTCTGTCTCCTCTCCTCTGATAATAACAGCACACACACAGATGACCACTGCCCTCTAGCTGTGTCCCTGTTCCACCCCAATGATTCGGTAGCCTTCAGTGCTGATGCCTCTTTGGACAAGTGCCATCTAAAGAAATAGGCAACAACGCTACATGTGTCTGGTGTTATCTTTTTCTTTTTCTTTTTTTCTTATCAGCTTCTAGATTCTTTATACTCTAGCCATGCACTTGGATTGCATGGTTTATTCTGAACAGAACTGCAGAGCTGTTTACTTCTGCTCCCCCAGATCCTGCTCTCCAGATAAACCCCTTTATCTCCACTAGCACTTATTCTGGTATTTGCATCCATATTTCTCATTTAAAAATTATTATTTATGCCAGGCAGTGGTATTGCACACCTTTAATCCCAGCACTCAGGAGGCAGAGGCAGGTGGATCTCATGTGAGTTCTAGACCAGCCTGGTCTACAGAGCTTCCAGGAAAACCAAGGCTATACAGAGAATCCCTGTCTCAAAAATAATAATAATAATAATAATAATAATAATAATAATAATAATAATAATAATAATAATGTACTACTGCGCACATGTAGAGGTCAGAAGACAACTTTGTGGAGTCCTTCCTTCCATCCTTCTTTCCTTCCTTCCTTCCTTCCTTCCTTCCTACCTTTATATGGTATCTTGGTTTCATTTCTGTTAGTCTGATAAGATATCCTGATCAAAGCAACCCAGTGGAGGAAATGCTTTATTCAGCTCACAACTCCCTCCCATGTTATGGTCCATCATTTCAGGGACGTCAGGGCAGGAGCTCACATAGTTGTCACATCATATTCACAATCAAGAGCAGAGCACAAATAAAAGCATCCGTGCTGTCTATAGCTTTCACTTCTCTTTTTCTTCTCCTTCCCCTCCCCTCAGAAGTTAGACTTACTTGTTTCTTCGCTCTTAGAGGAGACAGTTCAGGGCCCCCTGCCTAGGGAATTGTGCTACCAACAGTGGACTGGTTTTTCCTAGTCAGTTAGCCATCAAAACAACCTCCATAGACATGCCCACAGAGTAACCTGATTTAGGCAATTCCTCAATTGAGGCTCTTTCTTCAGGTCATTCTAGTTTGTGGCAAAGTTGATAATTTAACAGCATCTATCACATGTGTGTGCTGGGGATCAAATTCAGGTCACCAGGCTTGCTCATCAAATGCCGTTAGCTACTGAGCCATTTGCCAGCCCTTGAGTCCACGTTTCTAACGCCGTGTTAATGTGGACTGTGTATCACATGTAGATATTGTTCATGAACTGTATGTCATGAGTGACAAGAATCCTCACATGCTCCTAATGCTGTTTTCAACATCTTAGCATAAATATGTCACAGGTATAATTTTTACACTTGATTTTAGCTCAAAGACCAAAAAGTAATGTACATACAATTGTTACTGATTTGTCAATCTGTGCATTATTGTGTCTGTGCAAATATCAACTGCTGTGTCAAATAGTGAGCTGTAACTTTTTGTCTGTTCACTTTTGGTTTTTCCCAGAGTTGGTAGTTGGCCCTTCTTTTGTGTTTCAGTTTTTCGTCTTTGATATTGTCTCACCAACTTATTCTAGTACAACTGCTTAACTCCTCTTGATTTTTTTATTTTATAGAAAACACATTACACAGTCTATCATTCTCTCTCCCCGTACTGTGGAGGTTTCTCTCTCCAGGCTCTTTGGTACCACTTGGAGCAGATGCACTGTAGACATCTGGGTTTGGAGATTATGGGGCAGGTTAGCTGTCTTTGCCAGATCCTGTTCCACTAATTGATCTGCCCCTCCCTGTGTCCTAGAGATCCTTGTGATCCACAGGGATTGGTGTCATGCTGGAAACCTGTCTTCTCATCAACAACCACTTTTCCCACTGCGACTTCCTTCCCTCCCCCGACACAGGATTCTTATGAAGAACCATCTGCCAGTCCTCTGCATGACCACATTCTCAGGGAGACACCTGAAAACAGTTAGCCAATGGGATCCTCATCTCTACTTACCCAGCTTACAGCTATTTGTCTGAGGCAAGGCAGGCCATCCCGTATGCATGTTGCCTATTAAACTTTCACCCATGCAAGCATTGTGGCCTGTTTGCACCAGACAGCTGAGAGGCTAGAGAAGTGCTTTGGTCTCTGCAGACACCATCAAGACTGCCAGCTGGCCTGGCACCTCCAGCACCTGGTGCATGTCCCCTGTGCTTCCTGGCTCCCAGACCCCTTGCTAGTGTGGAAGAACACTGCCAGCAAGCCTGACCTTTGCCAGTGTGAGGGACAGGAAGAGGCTCTGCTTGCCCCAGCTAGCTTCTGCATGCCAGTGTCTGCTGTGAAAGCTTTGATGTTCTGAAACAGAAACTCTTAAAGAGGAAACCATACTCTGTGCTGTCACAATGGCAGCTCTTGTGTGTGCTTTTGTGGGAGGAGATGGGCACTGCTGCTGTTTGGCTCCTGCTAATGGCTGTTAAATGTGGGTAACAGGTCCTTCTTGACAGTTCCTGTCCTCTGGTCCGACACACTATGCTGTATTCCAGGTATGACCCCCACATGCGTTACAGGTTTCGGCTGCCTCTTAGGCATGCATCTCCATAGCAGGCAGACTGTAGCTGGTTTTCTGTTTGGTCCTTGCATGATGAGCATCACAGTGGGCTAATTGTGAGGAGGAGTCAGAGGTGAGCTTTATTGTTATTGCCACTGTAAGTGCATGACGAGCGTGCAATGAATGTGTAGTGCAGGTGCCATGGTGCACGTGTGGAAGTCAGAGGACAATTTTCTGGAGTCAGTTCACTCTTCCATTGTGCGTTCTGGGGCTTGTATTCAGATTGCCATCTTGCCAGCCCCCAGAGGTAAAGTTTATGTGCAATCTGTGAACACTATGATTTCTGTATTGGCTGTCTGCTCCTTCCTTCTGGGCTGAGGACTGCCAAATAAATATTCCCCAACCCACTACCTGGCTTCATTTCTTCCACTTAATACCTTGTGAAGTGGACCTATCTGTGAGTCTGTGTGTCTCTCTGAACCTGCCTCTCTTCCTACCACTGCCAGTTCCCACCATCCCTATAGCAAGAGCCCTGGCCTTGTGTAAAAGAAGGAGGCACGCCTAGAAAGAAATTTGTGCCTTCTCCAGGTCACGAAAGCCCAGGCATCCACTGGAAAGGGTCAGTGTTGCTCATTAAGACGCTGGATCAGCTGTTTTCTCCAGTTTTTCAACAAAATGTTCCCAAGCCAGAACAACTGACTAGTAGAAGAGTAGACCTGGGCTCTCGAGAAGTGTATGAACAAGTGTGTACCAATGTCAGCGTCACTGGCCTCAGAGACACGCCAGAGCCTGGAGGTCTGTCTCTATCTATCTCATCTCCATCAGCCGACTGAGTGGATGTCCACAGTAAGTGTTCGGTCCACTAATGACCAAACATAATGAGCAGAAGCCACCATGAGAGTAGCTGCTCTCTGGTAGGCATGAATCTGCTCCCTGGCTATGACATGTGATCATGAGTAACCATAGATGACTGTGAGCTAAAATGGACAATGTGACATAGGCAACTACAGGGACACATGTAGACTATAAGACACAGGTGACTGTGGACTAGGAGCACCCACAGGGCCACAGGGGCCAGCATATCTCTTAGAATCGTTTCCCTTTGACACCCCACAGAGGTCACCATGCCCACATCTTTACACTAAGTAAGGACTCTGATACTGAGCCTTTCACATGCTGGGATCTTATCAGTGTCTTTGCCACAGAGACATACAAGGGCCAGCCTGATGGCAGTGACCTCAAGCCTGGCTGCCACACTTGCCTGGCTGTGGTGGTGACTGTAGGGCCAGATAGGCATGTCCAGAACTCCTGTGGCCGAAGGTACTTGGGCCAGGGGTACATTATGTGTGTACATGGTTCCCTCTCCTGTGCTGACACTTGTAGGGGCTGCCATGCTGATTTCTCTGGTCTCTTCAGCTGTAAGGTTAATCAATGTGCACTCACTATTAGAGATCACTCTCCTCTTGCAGGCTGTAACAGCAACACAGCACACACCACCTTATTTATAAAGTAGCACCCACTATGGGAGATGTGGCCTCTGCTGGTTACATGGCAGACCTTGCTGGCAACCAAGGCCAGCAGGCTTCTATGTTGAGGCCCACCCTCTTCCCAAGCTGTTCCCAAGACTAGAGCTGCAGGCACCTGTCTTTCTGCTTCATGGCAGTTAGGTGTGTCAAAGCACAGTGTGTTAGGCAGTTAGGCAGTCATGCCCCAGTACTGTGACACTAGCTTTACACTTGGAGAAACAGTGCCAGCAACACCTTAGAAGACGAACTTGCAGATGCACCATGCTTACAGAGGAACTGCAGAGAGAGGAGAGAGCCCCACCCTCCCCTCGGTGCTACCAGCATCAGTAGCTCACAGGGAGAAACTGGCCTCCGGTCCAGAAGGAGTTCTCAAGCTCCCACCAATGCCCAGGGTCCATCCAGAGATCCCGTGACTACAGCCTCCCGTCTCCTTTACCTTTTAGTCTTTGTCCCCAAGACTCTCCTTGACTTCTCATGTCGGTGACTGTAGCGCATTCCTGGCAGCTCGTTCTGCATAGTGTGCCTCAGATTAGGTCTGTCCCATGCTTCCTAGTGGATAAACTGGATGATGGGTTTGGGGAGGATTGCCCCGACAGGGAGGGCTTTCCTGTCACACTTCCCTGATGCTACCTTGTTAAGATATGTCTGCCAAGTGTCCCTCCATCCAGCTACAGCTCCCCAAAGAAAGTAGATACCCGAGTCCATCCCTTAGTGGTGGGGGTGTGCATGCCACTTGGAGGG